CATCTTTGACTTAATCATAACAATAATAAAATAATAAAATAATAATAAAGGAATCATAACAATAGACACTGTACATAAAGAGGCATTTCGCTCTCTGCCTACATTGCCTAGCTGCTGGGGCTGTCCTGCAACCTACCTCAGCCCATATACACAAGACACCCTCTAATTTCAGCGCCTGACAGCTTATTTCAGCCTTCCCACATCACACCAACCAACCGCCGTGTCACCCAGCTCTTCCGGGCTCCATCCATAAACAGTACCGGCAGGTTACCACTTCAGATGCTCTCGCTGCCCGCGCCGTCGCACACGCCCCCGAGACTACCGCGCTCGCTGCTACCAGCGCCCGAGCTGCGCGGCGTGTGCAGCATCTCCTCCGACGCCGATCGCGCCAGACACATCCCCGTCGCTTCCGCCCGCCTCCGCATGCCACTCTCCTCCCCCCAGCATCATCCCGCTCATGCTATCCCCCTCCACGGTTCCGCTTCCGCTTCCGCTTCCGCTTCCACTTCCACTTCCTCTTCCGCCGTTCAGCGCTGCCGCCGCTAGGCCCGCCTCCCCGCCCTTCGCCTCCTCCGCGCCCACAGTGTACACCAGATACGTCTTAATCTCCCCAGTCGCGAATCCGTTAAAGCTGGACCCCGCCGCCGCAGTGTACGCGCCCATGTTCGGGAACCACCAAATCGCCGATCGCCAGCTCAGGCAGCGCCTCGTCGCGCAGCACCATGTCCAGCCCGTCGCAAGTCGGACCGAACACCGTCGATGGGAAGAACGCTCCGCCCGCCCCCGCCCCCCGCCGCGCGCAGAGCTCCGCCGCCTCCGCCGCCCTTCCTGCGCTTCCCCCGCACTCCGCCTCTGGGGGCAGGCCCTCCCTAACCTCCGCCTTCTCAAACCCGCCGCCGCCGCTGCCGCCGCCGCTCACGTCAATAACCTCAACCTCTCCGCAGTCCAGGCCGCCGTCCGCGGAAGACCCGTCGGACGCGGAAGCGGATGCGCGCGCAAGCGGGCGCGCGCAGCGTGGCGTGGTCGTAGAGCGCGCAGTTCATGGAGCCGTACAGCCCGTCGTTGATCCAGTACTCGCGCCGCTCGCCGCGCACGCGCCGCCCGAAGACGCACGCGGCGAGCGTGGAGGGCGTCTCGGCGAAGTACCTGCCCGGCTCCGCGATCACCGCCACGCCGCTCGCCTCCGGGAAGAAGCGGTCGAGCGCCGAGTTGATCGCTGCAAAAGAAAGAAAAAACAAGAGCACGATTAGCGAAGACCATCATGAAATGCACAAAACGGAACCCAGGAATGTATTATGGGAAACGAGGCGAGAAAAGCTGGGTGCACCAGTAGCCACCATGGCATTAAAGACTGGTATTCAGGCAACCCACCGTTAGCAGCCGCGGCGAAAGGCATGCCGCCGGAGCATCCTGTGCCAGGTGCTGTGAACCCGCCACCCACGTCAAGCACCGACATGACAGGCATGTCCGCCGCTCGTGCCACGTCAGCGGCCATGTCGAACACTTGGCGCGCCGCGGCGATGGCGCGGGTGAAGGCAGCGGGTCGGCCGCGCCGCTTCCGACGTGGAAGGAAACTCCCACCACGTGAAGCTTGAGGCGCGAGGCGACGGCGAGGAGGGACGGCACCTCGTGCATGAGCGCGCCGTACTTGACGCCGAGGTTGCAGCGAGCCGTGGAGTCGTTGGCTTGCAGACGGAGCAGCAGCACGGCGGAGGGATTCAACGCGTGCACCTGCGTTAGCGTCACACAGAAAAGTACCAGTTAGAAGGATATCAAATCCCGGTAAAAAAAACAGAGATCAGGAATCACGTGCAAGAATGAATCACATAGAGCGTCCTGTATTTGTCTGTCGAGCGGTCTTTGGCATGAAACGGACCTTGACAAGCTCGGATTCGGAGTCGAACGTCGTCGCACGGACACCCATTTCCGAGGCGAAGGTGATGTGCGACGGCATCTTGCAGGGGTTGGCGAAAATGATGCTGTCAGGCGACACACCCATGCTCAGAACCTGTCAAGCAAGCGACAATGTCAACGGTCAGAATCTTAGTAGCTAACTACTAAACGTTATAATGACGCGGAATGTTGCAACGACGGCGTAGAAACTTGCACGCATAGAGATATGGCAACCGACCTGAGAAATCTCGGCCTTGCTCGCGCAGTCGAATCCCGCTCCCAGAGCGGCAAGCACGGAGACGAGTAGCGGGGATGGGTTGCACTTCACCGCGTAGAAAGGCTGGACCCGGGGAAAGGCGGCCGTCCAGCCCTGCAAGGAAACAAGAAACAAATAATCGTCTGTCAGAAAATGACTCGCCAATGTCTCAAGCCAATAAGTTATTGATAAGCAAAACGAGATTCGCTTGGAACCGGAGTACCGACCGTAAAAAGACGGACGATCTCGCCGATGTCCATGACGTAAAACGGATCCTCCAGTCGCATCTCCCGAATGAGCCGCTGAATCTCGCCGTCGATCATTCCCGCTCGTCCAGCCGATGGTGGGGACGACTGGAGAACCTGAATGCGTCCCGCTTCCGCCAAGAAGCTTGGCATGACGACGCCGCGACTGTCAGCACTTGATTCGTTCAGTGGAAGCGTCCCTCCTGGCAGCAGCTTGAATCCGTCAGATCCCCGCATGTCATAATGATCCTGATGATCCTGGTGAACAAGGCCGCCACCCGTGTCAAGATCCATGCGTTTCATTTCGTGGTTACCAGTCGCCCAGGGAAGACCCCATTTCGTGACACGCGGCTTTCGTGAGGTGCTGACGCCACTCCCCGGTTTCGCGGAGAGCGACTGAAGCGAGTTGTCGAGAACGACTCCGAGCTCGTAAGAGTCCGAGTGAAGCTTAGGCTTGAAGAGGTTAGCCGACGATAGAAAAGAGCTCTCTACGACCATCGCAGATCCTGCCATATTGACTCCCGAAGCTACTAGCGAGAAAAGCAGTTGAAAGCTCGAACAGGCTGGAGTGTGCACGCACAGAGCGGGTTCTATAAGGCACTGAGTAGGAGAGCTTGTAGTGAGGCAACCGTAAGAAGAACTCGCAACTTGAATTGCGTGAGTAATAATGCGCTGATCAGCCTGAATTTGAACTCTAGACCAGCAAGAGCTCCTAGCGCGAGCGTCTACTATCAGGAGCTATTCTGATGCTGGATGCGAAGTGCAGTAAGCAATGAGGCATGCAGTCTGTTTCTGGCGCGGAAAACGGCGGCTGAGTTTCAGGAATCAGGAGGACGCTGCTGCTGGGAGGTGAGGTGAATCTCGGGAACAGAGCAATGAGAGGGACGAAAGTTGCGGCGAAGTAATGCGAGATGAATCACGCGTCGCGGTAACCATGCTGCACCAGTCTGGGCCACTTGTTTTCGCGTGAGCGGGTGGCGACGACAGCCGTAGCCGCTACGCGCCTCTTCGTGCCAGGATGGGAATTGCCGTCTGCTGACGACGGCGAAACGCAGGGAACAGGTCAAAGCAAAACGCGTTGTCCTATGCTGCATCAAGTCTACATTTTCACGAACCGTAATTTGAAACACAATATAAAGACAAACTGAAAGCTTGGTCACAACAAAATCGGAAATGAAAATATGCTAGCCAAGGTGCTAGTAGAATCAAGGAGACATCAGCTTCGTTTTTTGGCGATATAGAAGAAGGGTGCAAGGGCAATATTGCACCATGTAAGCACTCACATTTCCAAGGACAACCCTGCTCAAGCATTAGGAGAAAGTAGGGTGACATGACACTCATGCAGGAAAATGGCAATTAGGGAACAACTAAATACGACCAGCATAATTTAGCACGATTGCCACACCACAAATGCTTACCCGCGAACTGAGCCTGTTCCTCTTGTAGCGACTACCAACAGATCGATATGGTTGCGCTCGCAAAAGTCCACCAGTAACGGACGAGGATCGCCCTCAAGCACATGAGTGGACACCTCAAACGCTGCCCCCTGAGAAGCAAATGACGGACAGGAAAAGGGGCAGGTGGCAGCAAAAGAGTGAGAAAGAGAAAGGAGGGGAAATGGGGGGTTGGGGGGCGAGGGGGGGGGGGGGGTGGCTAGGAGAGTGGGGGAGCAGTGAAATTTGGGGGGAAGAGGAGAGAACATGGGAGGAAGAGAGAAAGGAAGCAAAAAAGGTGCATGACCGTGGCACAGAATCCTTAGGAGGCAGAAGGGGAGGGGACGGGTGGTGTCCCTGAAAGCTGCTGTACCTTTGTCTGCAGCGCAAGGGAGATGAGGGCGTCAAAGTGGGGTCGCATCATTGAGTCGTTGGCCTTCTTTCCATCAGCTGCTAGCATACGGTCTGGTATTGATGTTGGCATACGGATTGGGGGGGAGGGACAGAGGGGGGAGGGGGAGGTAGTGAGTCTGGTGAGGAAACAGGACGTTGCGCAAGGAGGAAGACGAAACACATGGAACATACCTTGGCTTACCGACTTTTCAAGCAACCGTCCTCCACATAGATTAGTGAGAAGAGGTGCATATTCCATAGCGGAAAGAAGCTTTTCTTCTCTATCCATGGACATATCACCACCCTCAATCCTATTCCCTATTTCCCTATGGGCCCCTATCGACCAGCACACCCTGCATGGCATAGCTGGGTTCTCGATCCGCGTGCAGCAAGTAGAGCCGGTCCTCTGCGCGGCACACGTGGTGCAGCACCCACTTGCACGCCTCGCCGCTCGCCTCGCTCCGGTCCAGCCCGACAGCGATGCGGCGCGGGCGGTTGCACTGCAGGCGCAGCTGCTCCTCCTCTGGCGCCATGCGCACCACCAGCACCGGGCACGGCGCACACACCGCACAGTAGTTGCCCCGGCTGCCCGTCAACATGCTGGGGGGATGGGGAGGGGGGTGGATAAGAAGATGGATGCAGGGAAGGATACGGCTCAGGTGAACGCGTCGGCAATTGAAAAGACGACGAGAATGGTACAAGTAGGCAAAAGGGGCCGGGGGAAGGGCAGGGGTGCAGCTGTAGAGAGAAGGTAGTAACGGAGGGAGGAAAGGGAGGGCGGGGGGGAGAGGGGGAGGTTAACAGTGGGTGAGGTGAGCAACGAGCATGTGCTGCTGTTCATAGAATGGGCTCATCATAGGAGCACTGCACGATGCTCCTCCTAGCAGTGCTCCGCTAGGAGAAGGAATATGGTGGTGGGTGGGTGGGTGGGCGGGTGGGTGGGCGGCTATCATGTGGTGTGGTGTGGGGTGGGGTGGGGTCACCGGTGAGAGGAGAGTTGGCGCCTGCTGCCGAGCACAAGGAGGTCGACGTCCCTATCGGCGCAGATGGACACAATCTTCTCCCGCACGTCACCCTCCACAAACACCCCCTCGCACTGCACCTGTCGCGCCGGCAAGCAGGCAGGCACGCAGGGAGGCACACAGGGAGGGAGGGGAGGGGAGGAGGGCGTTAGTAGAGTAGAGGAAGGTAGACGAGGCGGGGAGGAGAAAGTGGATCAATGGGGCGGGAGCGGAGAGGGGTTGTGTGGTGAGGGAGAGGGGAGCAGCTGACCTGTTTGTCCGTCTCCTGGCACATCTGCCGAGAGCGCTCCATGAGCCCGTCCAGCACCTGGGGAGTCACGGCCACTGGCGACAGAGCGCGCAAGAGAAAACACGCGCAACAGGAGCGGAAGAGAAAACACGCGCAACAGGAGCGGAAGAGAAAACAGGAGGACAGAGGGGAATGAAATGAAGGAAGCAGGCGCGACATCCCTCCTGCGCGACATCCCTCCTGCGTGACATCCTCAGCGATTCAGATCGTTCACGTGCAAAAGGATTCGGCATTCTCAAGACACTTGCTGCTGCACTTGCCTTTCTCAAGCGCACTGGGCTCTGTTCTCGTCCTTTCCTTTCTTCCTCATACCTGGCTGCACGGACGGGTCCTGTACGCACAGCAGCAGCACCGTGTCCTCGCCCTCTGACGCCACGTGGCCTATGGTCCACCGTAAGGCTGTGCGCGAGCCACGTGTCTCGTCCATCGCAACCATTATGCGCTTTCTGCGAACCGCGACAGAGTCTGAAGTCGCCATGGCTTTAACGAATGACCGCCAAGGTCAGGGCTTCAAGAGAGAAAAACGTGTCGGATAACAATGTGTCTAAATCTTGTATCAGCAGAAGTCGACACTTGTATGTATATCTTCCCTCCAGATAGAGCAGCTGACTGACGCTTTCGATCTTGCGCAATCCACTCCACACGCACAAGCAGTGTGTGTAAAAGAAGCACAAAATATGGAGTCTTGGTCTCGAGGCACACGAGCAAAGCGACACGCAGGAACAATTTCAAGTAGCGTAGTGAGGACCAAGGTCAGTGACACAAGACAGGGAGAGTTGGCAAGCACGACAGCAGGGCTGCGAGGGATGTCATGGGGCTGGATAGAATACAACTTCATAAGCCCGCTCATAGTACTTATTATACATAAGTAAGAAATGCGACAAGGCCAATTTTGTGATAGCACCATGTTGAAATTTATGTATGGAAGGAAGAATACAACCTAACTTTTTCTAATTATTCACTACGGAGTTGACTCAACCTCTACATCGTCCTCTCATTCAGCACGCAGGAGTGCTGAAAAACACGTTTAATATGGATTGCGATAATAGGGAGAAATTAATTGGTGTGTGTAAAAAAGCAAATCAAGTGCAAAACTCATGTAAAACTAATTGATACGTATATACTGTTATGAGATCTTGGGAGTTTCCTTTTGTACCAAGTGATGACTGCACAGAAACGACTTGTTCGGTTTTGTTCAAGGCGGATCGCAGGTTGAGGAGCTTGTGACAATAACCCGTAAAGTTGAGCAGCCAAATGCCACGTCTGCACTCTGCTTGACAACTTTGGTGCCGAGCGACAATGTCGTGGTCGCAGACTTTCGCAATCTTAGGACCATTTTCATCAGAAGTCCTATTGGTCCGCCCCTCCCCAAAACCACCAGCTCGCCGTTCCGTCGCACGCACGTCAAACCCAAGGACCTGTCCGTCTGTCGCGAGCTCTCGTCAGGGGTCGCCAGGGAGCTGGGCAGGCACCACCAACCACTCTGTGATCAGAAGAGCCGCCAACCTCCCGCACTGCCCCATGCTTTCCTCCGCGGCACCTCCTGCAGCACGCGCACGCAAACTGACTTCCGCTGTTGTCTTCCGCCGCAAGGACAGTTTTTGCGCGGAGCTCAGCGGATGAAGCTGCGTGCGAAGCGTAGCTCTGAGTGCTGCTGGGTGAGGTGCTTTTCGGGTCAGAAGGATCAAATATTTCACTTACACAAAAAGTTACACTTAGGACGCCCTGAAAGCAGAGGAAGGCAGCCGTCTAGGTTCCCCAAAGCCCAAAGGGAACACTCCCAGCCCGCCCCTCGTGATTTTTGGTCCGCCTGCCCGTTCCCCGCAGTGGCGAGATTCGGGATCGGGGGAAGCAGGAACGAGGGGAGGGGGAGCTCTCCTCCGTGCGCCCTCACGCGCGCACCCGACCCAACTCCCGCTCTCCGCTTCGCTCTCCGCTCCGCTCTCCGCTCAAGCTCTCCCCCATGCGCTGGGCCTTCTCCTCTTTCACAACACTCTGGATCGCTGTTCCGCTCTGCCCTGCTTAGCTCTGCTGTGCTCTGCCCTGCTTAGCTCTGCTTTGCTCTGCCCTGATTAGTTCTGCTTTGCTCTGCCCTCTGCTTGTGATGTGACCCCTGAGCCTGTGAGGCAGAGGGTGAAGCTTGTGCTTGCCTTGTTTGACTGGGTTGGTGGTTCATTTGTCCGCCTAACATCCTCGTACACTACGCCTAGTACATCTAGCCCACGAGCACAGGTCCTCTATTATGATTATAACGGGTCCAGAGGTGCAAGCAGTGGGAGGCAGGTCCTCGGGCTCCTAGGCATCCTACAGCTGACCAACCAGCGAATAATAAGAACCCCCCTCGCTCTTAGTTCAAACTAAGCCCGCCTTATTCTTCGTAACCACTAACATTTTCCGCCGGCTGTCCTGCAGCCATACAGCTCACATTCAGATGCAACCCTTTACCTTGGCTGTGCTAGATTATAGAAGCATCTCCTGTACAACCGAGATTGTAAAATCTAACCTAACCCGCGTGTCCGTCAAATGCCGTGCGGTACTTCACCCGTGCGGCGCTGTTGCCTACTAAGGCAACCGCGCTCCATTCTTCCGCCGCGATAGCTGTCCGTAACGCTGGCGCTCCTGGTACACGGCAA